TCGATCGATATATATCGTTATTGAATTATCGCCCAGCCCTAGTATCTACATGGTCCCCTATTGGCAGGATTTAAAGAGTTGTATGGATAAGGTACTGAGGGTGGGTACATGGAGAGAGGGATGGAAAGATTAACAAGAGCAGCTGATAAATATATCTATAGGATTATGTTGGTAGCAAGCAAAAAAGCCATTACTAGGACATGGCTGAAGGCAGAAGCTCCTAAAAGGGAAGATTGGGTTGAAATTATATATAATATTTATATTATGGAAAGGCTGATTTTTTTCCATCAGATTTGAATCTGGAAAATGTAAAAATTATTGGGAAAACTGGCGATGTTTTATTTCACCATGGAGATCAGACTTTGCTTAATAGTAGTGTGGGTTTGGGTGCCCTTATAGAGTTACAGACTGTAAATAGTTTGCTTACAGTTCAATACTTGTATAGAATATATGCACAGATTCTGTTGGATGTTGTGTTTGGGAAAAAACAAAAAACAAAAAAAAAAACTGTAAAATCGGTATGTATACTTGTATGGGGAAAAATATTTTCAATAAAAAGTGAAAATAAAAATTAAAAAAACTTGAATCAAAGCTAATATCGTTTTTCTATAAAATTTTTACATAACATGTTGGATTATAGATGCAAAAGGTCAAACACAGATTAGGTTGATGTATTTATTCATCAAATTATAATTTATTTGAATTACAAATACAGGAGTAGCTCATCAATAAATATTTGTCCTTTATTATGTAGAGATTCAAATGTTTATTTGTACCTTTCATTGTTTTTTTTTGTTTTTGTTTTTTTGTCCTTTATAATTATTTATATCTGTCACTGGACAGTGAGACGTCCTTTATAAGAGGTCCCAGGGTTGGATAAAATAAAATATTCACAAAATATTGTACCGTTTGTGTTTAAAATGGTAATTATGAATGTGACAAAGATGTTTGCTTTTGTTGCTGCCGAAGATGATTAGTCTTTTTAAAATTTTTATTTGTTTTGTTCCCCTCCAGCAAGAGCGTGACGAACATAATCAGCAGGCTATCGCTGCGTACCTGAAAAACGCTCGCAAGGATCACCAGCGCATCCTGGCCCGTAGACAGACCATCGAAGAGCGAAAGGAGCGCCTGGAAAGCCTGAACATCCAGCGAGAGAAGGAGGAGCTGGAGCAGCGAGAGGCTGAGCTGCAGAAGGTCCGCAAGGCCGAGGAGGAGCGTCTGCGGCAGGAGGCCAAAGAGCGGGAGAAGGAGCGCATCATGCAGGAGCACGAACAGATCAAGAAGAAGACGGTCCGCGAACGGCTGGAGCAGATCAAGAAAACTGAACTGGGAGCCAAAGCCTTCAAGGATATCGACATCGAGGTCAAATTCAACCCCATAAAACATCCAGATTTCAGTCGATTTAACTCAATATTTTACAGAAACAATCAGATTTATTAAAAATAACTTTCTACTATTTTACCACAGGACCTGGAGGAGCTGGATCCAGATTTCATCATGGCTAAACAGGTGGAGCAGCTGGAGAAGGAGAAAAAGGAACTTCAGGAGCGTCTGAAGAACCAGGAGAAGAAGGTTGATCTTTAAGCTCCTGTCTAGATCTGTGGAAGTAGATTTACATTGAATAGGATACTGAGGATTATTTCTCCACAGATTGATTACTTTGAGAGGGCAAAACGCCTGGAGGAGATTCCTCTGATCAAGAAAGCTTATGAGGAGCAGCGTGTCAAAGACATGGAGTTGTGGGAGCTCCAAGAGGAGGAGAGGGTATGTAAGCAAATAAAAGTTAATCCCCAGCTGAATGTTCAGAGTCTTAAGCGGCGCTGCGTTTCTTTTTTTAGATCAATAACTTGAAGATCGAGCGTGAAAAGGCTCTGGAGCATAAGAAGCGGATGTCCAGGATGATGGAGGACAAGGAGAGCTTCCTGGCTAAAATAACAGCCGCCCGCAGCTTCATCTACGAGGTAGAAGTCTTTGCAGTAGTTGGTGGAGGAATCAGAGTTCCCATGTATTTAAGACTGTATTTAAACGGCTTTATTTGGGGTTTTACAGGAGAAATTAAAGACATTCGAGGAGCGTTTGGTTGAGGAGAGGAAAAAGCGCCTGGAAGAGAGGAAGAAGCAGCGCAAGGAAGACCGCCGTAACGCTTACTACCGCCAGAAGGAGGAGGAGGCTCAGCGCATCCATGAGGAGCAGCTCAAGAAGGGTTAGTTAATAATAATATTGCCTGAACTTTATTGATCTCACTTTGGAGAAATTTACCTCTGCATTTAACGCATCCCCATGGGGAGCAGTGGGCTGCCATCTTGGGGCGCCCGGGGAGCGGTTAAGGGTTGTTAGGGACCGAGCCAAAAAAATCAGAGCAGCACAGGGAAGTCATTGATGAAAAAATGGTAACAAATTTATTTAGCATAAATAAAGTTCAAACTTCAAACAAGTCTGGGCCCATCAAGGAAAACGAATGACAAAAATCAGTATAATCCAAACCTGACGCAGGAAAAGACCTACCTAACTGACACACAAGGGAAAACATATATATACACTGGTTGATCAGACCATTTTGAAACAAGAGGGAAACATAAAATACATTTTCCTAAACAAAAATTGGCACCGAAAGACGAGGCGTGTTTCGATACTCTGTAGAACCGAAGCATTTCGGTCGGTGCCATAAAAGAACCGATGTTCGGTACCCAGTCCTACTCATAAGGGATTGCTTTTTCAAACGGCGATGCCAACGCTGATTTATTGAGCGTTTTGATTGGTGTGCAGGGAGAAGCTGACATGGAGGATTTACAACATTCTTAATTTGGAGCGGATGACTTTTTAGGTGGTGGAATAAATTTTTACTGCTACCTTTTTCAGCAATGGTTTTGCGGCACATCTTACAAATTAGCGCCTTTTGTTCGACGTCCTCGGCTTGAAAACCAATTCAGTTTATTTATACAGCGCCAATTCACATCACAAGTCATCTTAAGGCACTTTACAGTTCAACCAGATCATCCAGTCAGATTGCTTCAAAGGACGCAAACCACTGCCATATATTTGCTCAGCTGAACGACCTGCTGTCACCATACTTCGTTTGCCATTTGCTGTAGTGTGCAGAAAATAAAACTGTTTGGAGGAGGGATTTATGATGCATTCAAAGTGTGTGGGGAAAAATAACTCTCAGTGAAATAGATGCAGACGGCTTAATTTTGTCATGCGAATTTGTACTCGATGGTTGCGATAGTCATTTTAACTATTGTGCGTGGGGAAACTCAAGATACATCAAGTACATTTGATATATTGCCCACCACTAATGTTGCCATTAATAGAAGAAGAAACTTACGTTATTGTTTCATGTGTGCGGAATCTGAACATCTCAGAGGAAAGACATCCCCCACTTGTCACATATGTGGAAAGTCGTGTCAAAAAATGATAAAAAATGGCCCAGTGTATGCCGGGTTTGTCTCATGCAGCAATTCTCTGCCGCTAACGGGTTTGACCTCCATATCCACTGAGAGCTGACCAGGATCAGCAGCGAGCGACGCAATAAAACAGACTCCATTTCATCTTTCTGTGAATAACGAGCTGTCGTTCTTTCAAAACAGAACGCGAAGAGCGTGAGCGGCTGGAACAAGAACGGCGTGAGGAGGAGGAGCGCGAATACCAGGAGCGCCTCCGCAAACTGGAGGAGCAGGAACGTAAGCAGCGCGCTCGTCAGCAGGAGATCGAGGAGCGGATGCGGCAGAAGACCATCAGCCCACAAGAAAAACCACCCAAGGTAACAAAAACTGACCTGGAGAGTTTGTGGAACAGAACCACAACAGAAAGCTTTGGTTCTCATTTAAATACAGTAGCTTATTTTCATTCTTCCCACTTTTTCTGCCCACCCCCCCTCAGACCATCTATTTAAAGCCATGAATAATAATACAGCTAGTTTTGTGACACCAGTGGCTTTTATTTCACAATAGACAGACATTAAATGGTTTGGAAAGGAAAGAAGGACCTGCAGCTAAAGTCTTCTGGTGAGGATTTAAATCCAGAACATCACTGTTCTAGGAAATTCTTAAGATATAACAACATAGATATTGATGAAACTGATTAATGGGAACTGTTAAACCCTGAAAAATAAGGCTTAGAATAACTTTTTATGGTTAATTGGCTTGAATTAGGCAAGGCAAATTTATTTGTATAGCACAACTCAGTACCAAGACAATGCAAAGTGCTTTACATGATTAAAATACAGGAAAATAAAACGGAATCAAAGCAAGTAGGATAAAAAATTATATAAAAATGCAGAAACAAAAAAGAAAAACAGTTGGACTAAAGAAAATAAAAAAGTTGAACTAATGATGTTTCAGTTGAACTGTTTAACTAGAACAGTCGAAGGCAATACTAAACAAAGGAGTTTTTAGTCTTGATTTAAAGGAACTTTTACAGTTTTCTGGAAGTTTGTTCCAGATAAGTGGA